ATTTTCGACATAATTGCGTTTTTTGCAGAAGATTTTGTAGAAGTTTTAGTCGTTTTGGATTTGTGAAAACAGAAAACAATGCATCTACAATCAGAATATAAATAATCTACAATTTATCTACAAAATATCTACAAACTGGGTACATTGAATTTTAATATCCCAATTCCTATTCAATTGTAGCTTAATTGGTATTTTCGACATAATTGCATTTTTTGCAAAAGATTTTGTAGAAGTTTTAGTCGTTTTGGATTTGTGAAAACAGAAAACAATACATCTACAATCAGAATACAAATAATCTACAATTTATCTACAAAATATCTACAAACTGGGTACATCACAATTCCCATTTCAATTGTAGCATAATTGGGATTTTTGACATAATTGCGTTTTTTCAGAAGATTTGTAGAAGTTTTAGCCGTTTTTTATTTGCGAAAACAGAAAATAAAGCATCTACAATCAGAATACAAATAATCTACAATTTATCTACAATTTCTGCAATATGTCTTCTTCTTCTTCTTCTTCTTCTTCTTCTTCTTCTTCTTCGAGTTTCAATCTGAAATTCAGTCAAAACCAAGTCTAATCTTCACCAAAACCCTCAAAATTGAGATATAAACTCCAAACCATATTCTCGATTATTTTTAACAACACCCAATCCAAACAAATAATGATTTTTGAAAAATTCAAATTTGAATTCAAAGCTTTCAAGCTTTTTAATGGCTGTCAATGGATTTTAAATTGAAGATATAGGATTTGCGTTTCAAATTTGATCTGAAGGTCGCGAAATCAATTAGAATATTCTGTTCCTGATTTGTAGCGCGCCTAATTAGGAAGATTCAGCTACTAATAATTACTATTTAATGAATGGTATAATAATTGTAGAAAAACTGTGAATATAGCGGGTAAATAAACTATGCACATATTTGGTAATAAAATTTCATATATGGTATAGGAAGGAAAATATCTCAAGGAATAATTCTTTTTCAAAAGAAGGGCAGAAATGGATAAAGCATATTAATTCTTCGAAATCCAAGATCGTCAGTTACTTAGCATACTGTCAAGAATTTTTTATTTATTTTTTCATTCATAAGGAATTAATAAGCATCTTCATTACCTTTGTTTCATCTATCATCAGGACTCAAATCATAGTCTTAACGGTGTTATTTTTTTATGAAATTGTTAAAGTTATATCTAAACAAAGTACTAATAAATAAATTTCTTTTATAATATTAGTGAGCATAAAATAAATTTAATATAATATTCAGTTCAATCATGGCCAAGAATAAAACCCAAAATAAGTAGGTAAGAATTTAATGCATTTATATGACAAATGTCCATGAACTAAAGACTAAAGAGGGTCAGGTAAGGCTGTCACAGAAGCTAGGTCAGCATTCATCTCTAATTCCTATCTAATTCTGTCACAATTCACCCATAAGTTTTTGTCCTTGCCCTTCTCCTGAAAAATAAGCTCGTATGCCTTTTCTTTTATATACTTCTTTGGCATGAGAAAGCAAGAATCAAACTTTGACCTATAAGATACACAAACTATTAATACTTTCATTTTTGGTTTTCCACCGATATCCGATACTTGTATCGAGATCCAACTAAATTGGGATTTGCATCGAAAAATTTCATAGTAAAAATAAAGCATTGCTTAATAAAAATGACTTCATACTCAAAACTCGAATCTTAAAATAACTGAATAAGCATTAGCTAAATCACTGCAAGACTCTATGACGTGTTGGCAGTCTAGACAATTGCTATTTTTTTTTTTTGGTTAATTGGATAATTTATATATATAGATCTAAACTGTTACAAACGCTTCATCATGAGCCATCATTACAGGATTAGAAGTAGTAGTAATAGTAGTAGCATCATCTACATTTAGTGCACCTAAGTTTCCAAGACGAGCCAGGCTATTATACATAGATACAGATACTAGTTTTTTGTAGGTGACCCCTTGTTTGTCAGCTTGTAAACTTGACCATATGGATGCAGTAGGTTGTAGGAAAACTGAAAGATAGTTGTGCATGGCTTGCTTGGAACCTTCTTTGGCCAAAAAGTGGGCTACCTTGTTCGTCTCACGAAAGCTATATGTCGGACCACTGGATTCCCCAACTTCTTCAACAGGCACCTGCAAGAATCAATCAGAGTTTGATAAATAGGAATTTGTTGCTCTAGAAGCTGTATGACCTCAGTGGAGTCTGTCTCAACTTCAATGGGTATGTAGCGATGGTCTGCTACTAGTTGCAGTCCTTGCTGCAGAGCTAGTAGCTCCATATGTGTATGATTGATAGCGTGGGAATGTTTGTTGAAGCCTGCTATCCAATCTCCATTCGAGTTTTTGATCACTCCACCACCACTATTTGTATTGATGTTGAATGCACCGTCTGTGTTTAGCTTAAAGTAACCAGTAGCGGGGCGGAACCAATTTATGTGAATTATCTTTTTTATAGTGTTCTTTATTCTAGGTGAGGTGGTGTGTTTAAATTCCAGCGCCCGCCTAGTAGGGATGCCAATGGGGAGAGTGTGCCCTGTGTTTTGAAAGGTATTACGATTTCGATTTAACCAAATGTGCCATAGCGCAAACGGAAGGAAGTTAAGCCATTGAAGATGGGTTTGTTGAAGAGAAATATTGACGTCATGCAGTGCTTGCAACCAGTGAATCTGTTGGTAGGGAGGGTTAGGATATAAAGATTTATGTCTTGCCAGAATTTTACTGCTATTGGGCATTCGAAGAATATATGATGGATGATTTCTTGTGAGTTAGTACATATAGCGCAGTTTTGCTCTATATTTATACCAATATGATGGAGGTATGCTCTGGTTGGTAATCTATTATGTGAACAAAGCCATAGGAAGAACTTGATTTTTCCAGAGTATGCAAAGGCCAAATCCATGTGAAGTTGTAGTGAACGTAGGGTTGGTTATGTAGCAAAGGGTATACCGATTTGGTTGAGAATAATCCATTGCTAGAAAGGGCCCAGTAGGGCTTGTCTGTATATCCAGGTGTATTAGGGATGGTAGTGGCTAATGCTTTGGTGGTGATTTCTGTAGGGATTTGGAAGGAAAGAGAAGTCCAATCCCAATTGTTATTTTTCCAGATATGACTGATTTTGAGTCTTATTTCGTTAGAGTTTAGGGGACCACGAATAGAAGCTCGAAGGGTAGGTGATTGTGGAATCCACCTTGACTCCCAGAGGTCAATGGAGGAGTTAGTCCCTGGGGTCCAGGAAATGGCTTTGGAGCAGAAAGTACCTCCTTTGAGGACACTTTTCCAAATGAAGGAGTGCAACATTTTGTTCTTGCTAGAATTATATTTGTTAATTAAAGCTTGTGCCCAAAGAGTGTTAGGGTTAAGAAATAGTCGCCATGCCAGACTGGTTAAGAGTGCAAGGTTCTTGTCGTGAGCTTTACATATTCCCAGGCCACCTTGACTACTTAGGTAAGGTAACTACATCCCAACTAAGGTAGTGGATTTTCTTCTTTTCCGGAAGTGATCCCCAAANTTAAACCAAATGTGCCATAGACGCAAACGGAGAAGTTAGCATGAGATGGGTTGTTGAAGAGAAATATTGACGTCATGCAGTGCTTGCAACCAGTGAATCTGTTGGTAGGGAGGGTTAGGATATAAAGATTTATGTCTTGCCAGAATTTTACTGCTATTGGGCATTCGAAGAATATATGATGGATGATTTCTTGTGAGTTAGTACATATAGCGCAGTTTTGCTCTATATTTATACCAATATGATGGAGGTATGCTCTGGTTGGTAATCTATTATGTGAACAAAGCCATAGGAAGAACTTGATTTTTCCCAGAGTATGCAAGGACCAAATCCATGTGAAGTTGTAGTGAACGTGGGGTCGGTTATGTAACAAAGAATATACTGATTTGGTTGAGAACATCCCATTGCTAGAAAGGTCCCAGTAGGGCGTGTCTCTAGGCCCAGGCGTACTAGGGATATTAGTGGCTAAGGCTTTGGTGATAATTTCTTGAGGAATTTGGAGAGAAAGAGCAGTCCAATCCCAATTGTTATCTTTCCAGATATGACTGATTTTGAGCCCTATTTCATGAGAGTTTAAGGGACCATGGACAGAGGATCGAAGAGTAGGTGACCGAGGAATCCACCTTGACTCCCAGAGGTCAATCGAGGAGCTTGTCCCAGGGATCCAAGCAATGGCTTTGGAGCAGAAACTACCTCCTTTTAGGACACTTTTCCAAATGAAGGAGTGTGATATTTTATTCTTGCTCGAATTATATTTGTTGATTAAAGTTTGTGTCCAAAGAGTGTTAGGGTGAAGAAATAGCCGACATGACAATTGCTAATTTTCTAGTAGTCTTTGTGAAGATTTGTTCTTTTTTCTTATGAAAATGTGTACTATTCCCTTTATTTTAATTTAGACGATACATTTTGCTTATCAAGAGTTAATTTGACTAAACTTTAAAGCTAAATTAGATTAGTTCAACTCAATATTTTAAAATTAAAATTTAGATATTTAAAAACTATATGAAAAGTACTATAAGTTGCAATTTCTCTCATGTAAATATGATAAAAATACATTTAAAAATTTAGCCCCTTTTCATGTAAAGATAAATCTGAAGAAAACACTGTTCAAAATCCGAAAAATACTCCAGCATAATATACTGGAGTTCGAATTTTTTACATGTGAACTTCCAGCATATATAACATACTGGAGTTCCAGCATAATATGCCGGAAGTTCATGCACAGGTGCTCCAATCTCCGGTATATTATGCTGGAACTTTCCGTGTGTTGGAGTTCTAGCATAATATGTAGGAAGTTCATACACAGGTGCACCAATCTCCAGTACATTATACTGAAACATTCTGTGTTGCAACAAAATAGTGACAATTTTTCAATAATTTTACAAACGCTGGCTATTTTTCAATTACCAGTCCGAAAACTGGCTAGCGTGTACCATTTCCACACACAAAAAAAATGTTTTTAAACAAAACATAACGCTTCGCATTCCCTCCACGGCCTAACAACTCCAACTATCTTTTCCCCATTTACTCTTCCAGCAAGTACGCTTCACTTAACACTACCAACAAAATTATGTTCTCTTGGCTGAGCCCAGTCGCCTTATACGGCGGCTTCCTCCGCCGGTGCCTCACCAACGCCGGCCTAATTTCTCAATCCATGCAAATCGACGACGAAACCACCATCCATTTTTGGGGTCCAAAACCAATTATTACCTCATCGTCGAAAACCCAAAAACCATCACTTTTCTTAATTCACGGCTTTGGTCCTCACGGCGTTTGGCAATGGCGTCCACAGATAACGTTCTTCTCTAACGATTTCGACATATACATTCCTAACCTCGTATTCTTCGGCCGTTCTACGACCAAATCTTCCGACCGGTCCGAGGTTTTTCAAGCAACTTGTATTTTTAAACTCCTCGAGAAAATTGGAGTGGAAAAATGTTCGGTTATTGGGACTAGTTATGGTGGTTTTGTAGCGTATCACATGGCGAAAATGTGGCCGGAAAAGGTAGAAAAGGTAATTATAGCAAGTTCAGGGGTTAATATGAAGAAAACAGATAACAGCGAGTTACTGAAGAGGGCTAAAGTTGAAAAGATTGAGGATTTGCTTTTGCCGTCGACGGCGAGTCAGCTCCGGACGTTGATTACTTTGTCTACTCACCGGCGTCCGCCGTACATGCCGGACTTCTTGTTCAATGATTTCATCAACGTAAGTTTCTTACTGCTTATTTTAACTTTTATACATTACGCGAATTTTTACCCTATCAAATAGTAACATAATTACATGTAGTTATCTGGAGATTAGCAGGTTGAAAAATAATTTGCTATATACGTGTTAAAAAATATACTGAATCAATATTTATAAGTTAAATTCATTGCTCCCGCTGCCCAAATTCTCCTGTTCTTTGATTAATTATCTGAGTTTCTGTTAATTACCAATTGTTGGATTAAAATTTGACGTGAAATTTTGCATTTGAAATACCTTTGCTTAATAATTGCATGAAAATATTTGTAATAGATGCTGAAATTATTTCACTTTTGGATATTAAAAAAAGTATTTCTAAGTATTATCAAATTTTTTTTGTTTAATTAACTCTTAAAAAGCATAAGGTGGTGAAATTTTTGGGATAGTACTGTGAGTAACCTTTAACCTTTTCCTTTCTGCGCAAAGATTGAGTGTAAAGTTCTGCATAGGTTAATATTGATCTACTTTTAGTACTTTACTTTCATATTTCCTTTATTCCTCCTTTGGTTACAATAGTAATTTAAAAAAAAAAAATATTAATATACGAGTTTGATTTGATTTCCTTATGTTTTACCTATAGATTTGAAATAAATACTGGGAAAATGCTTAGAAACAACTAAACAAGGCACGAGTCCTTAAGATTTAGGTAAATTGTTTAGAACTATTGAGAATCATAGACAGACGAAAATGCTTTAACTTTTTCCAAATAATCATTGATGGGTACTGCTGAACGTGTCAGCTATTTCCATTCTTGCATAATTAAGGATTTTAAGGATAATGAATAAATAATCAATCTTGTCATTTAACGAATGAATCGATAATTAGCGGAAAGAATTAGCAGTTGAAACATAATTAATTAGAATGAAAAGACTCTTAACAATTAAATGATCTTTTGTATAGTACTTGCCTTTCCTTTAGAAGAAACGACAGATAGAAGAAATGTGTCTGAAAATTTTAATTATAATAGTATGATGTATCTATCAAGAAGTTTAGGCAAAAGTTCTAGTTTGGTAGGTACAACTGTTTTATTTAGCATTTTTCCAGGACCACTTTGAAAAGTAATTAAATCGAAAAGAGCATAGCACCTATCATCTTATAGCCCGTTTGGCCAAGCTGCAAAAATCAGCTTATTTTGAGAAATGCTTTTTTTCAAAAGAAGTGTTTTTCTCAAAAGTACTTTGGTGAGAAGCAGTTTGTGTTTGGCTAATTAGTTTGAAAAGTACTTCTAAGCAGCAATTAGTGTTTGGCCAAGCTTTAAAAAACTGCTTCTAAGTGTATTTTTCTCAAAAGTGCTTCTCAAAAAAGTGCTTTTGGAGAGAAGCTACTTTTTTCAGCTTCTCCAAAACTGCTTCTGCTTCTCCTCAAAAGCACTTTTTTCTTTTCAAAAGCTTGACCAAACACTTTAATTTTAGAAAAAAAGCACTTTTGGCCAAAAAAAAGTGCTTTTGCCTCAAAAGAAGCTTGGCCAAACAGGCTATAAATGCATACATTATTGATTCCAAGAATATGCTAAGCTACATTCAACTTTTACCTGAACAACTGCATCATTGTTTTTCTGGAAGATTTGGGATAGAAGGGAAAAAGAAGAGAAAAAGAAAAGAAAAGAAAAGAAAAGATTACGTTGTGTATGGTATACGGAAATCATTTTTCAAGAAAATATTTTTAGAAAAATATTTATTTCTCGTGAAAAATGACTTCCCTTATGCCAAACACAGTTGAAGAAAAATGATCAGTTTAGCAAATGTCTTCTCTTAGCTTGTTTGGTATGCAAAAAGATTCATATTATGTCATGGTCAGTTGACTATGTTGTGCACATTAGACATAGATGTGTTTAAGTATTTAATACAGATATGTGCATTTTCTTTTTAGAAATTTCGTATATTTGGAAAATTTTGGATGAAATATTCCACCCATTTTGCCATTAGGGCATGATCCATAAAACATGAATTCCAAAATTTTATAGATGAAATTAGTGGCCTCTAAATTAAAGGAAAGCTATATTTTGTTTCAGATTTCTTTCTAGGCTGTTTTAATTTGGCAAACTAAACACGAATAGGAAAATGTTACTCCATCTCTTTCCTTCCTTCTAAATAACGAGTTAATTAAAACTCTATTATATGCAATGCAACCCCTGGTAGAGAAGTCAGGAATACCCTTTCCCCAAGGGTGTTTAAACTTGAACGAAGTAAAAAAAAAAAAAAATTCCAACAAAAGGTATTCAATAACTGTATAGTCTAAAACCTAATATTTCACCAACAATGTAATTTTCCGAGAAAGGGTGGTCAATTGACCGCCCTCACCAGATTATAGCTTTGTCCCTGCTTTTAACTAAAATTAAAGTTGTCAATACTGGATACAGAAATTATATGTTGAAAACAGGAAGGAGAAGCTGGAACTGTTAAAAGGATTAAGCCTTGGAAGAGATGACACAGTAGATATAACTCCACTTCAACAGGTATATATATACATCTTTATTAGTTAACCTTACCTATTAATTAATTCATCTGTAAAGAAAATCTTTTTTATTTCCTTTGCAAATGCCAAGTGATTATATATCTTTTATTCCCTTGAAAACAATTCTCGTGTAACATTTATAGCTTTATTGGTGTAGGAAGTATTGATAGTGTGGGGAGAGTATGATCAGATATTTCTACTGGAAAAGGCAACTGAACTCAAGGAGTATGTACTCTCTCTATCAACTCATCAACCACTTCATGCTATTATATTATCTTGATATTTATGTACATCATGACTATTATATTGTACATGAAAATAATAAATGCATTATTAATATACAATAAACAATGGCGTATCATTATTGTCTGTAACTTATTTATCACCATTACTAGTATACGGTATGGAGTTGAGGGTGGTGCAAATCATAAACAAGGTGTGGGTGGGTGGGGTGGGTTGGGGTGGAGGATGAAAACAAATTATTTGAAAATTAGGAGGGAAGTGTAGGGAGCGGGTTAATTGAAAAATTTAAAGAATAATAATATGTTAAACTCGTCAACTTTAGCTAAATAGGGAGTACAATATAATTGTGGTAAAAAGGAAAAAAGAAATACATGAGAAATTAAGCTTAAACTGAGATCATTAATTTTGAGCAAATTCAACAATTTAATCAGATTGTTGCACTCCATCGTTCTTTTTGCTACAGTGTAGTACTGCAAGAATCAAATTTGGAGACAGATTATGTATATTTTCAGGTTTTGAAACCTAATTTTGCAAAATGCATGCAATAATATATCCAATATAACAAGTGAATTTCGACTTCAAAACCACTCTGAAATAAGTAGATTTCTTTGCATTTATCTTGTCTAATAGTTACAATGTTGGATGAGATGTGCTTAAATAATGGTGCGACATGTAAAATGACGATTCAAGCAAAATATCCTAACTTGCTCGGGATCAAAGCATAGTTGGTTAACCTTTTACTTTTACACTCAAGTAATATTGGCTATTTGTGTAAAACAAAAAAAAACATCAAATGACTATTATTTGATTCATAAATGCAGGTTTATGGGAGAGAAGGCTAGATTGGAAATCATTAAGAATGCCTCTCATGTACCCCAACTAGAACAGGGAGGGAAGTTCAATAAAATTGTTAAGAATTTCTTGTGTGGTTCAGATGATTAAATGTATTAGACTGGTTCCCTATTTCTTTCTTTGTTGTATTTTCCTTTTCTTACAAGCTCAATTACTAATTGAGAAGATTAATTTCTGGGCTTTTTGCACTAAAATTGAGGAGAGACATATATTTTGCAGCTTTAAAATGTTATGTAAATAACTCTAAGTTTTGCATTCATTTATTTGGTGCAAACACTATGTATAACAGTATAAGTAAATTTTTGTTGACTTATCGTAAGAAATCCCTTTGACGAATGTTTACTTGATTTATGGATAGCCCTTTTCTGACCAGCGTGATGCCATTGATGAGTGAACATAGCATGAAGAGTGGAGACTGTCATATTTTTATATTTGAAATGGTTAGTTTTAAACTTTTATTTTATCTTTGAAAAATATACTTTTATAGCCATACAAATATTTTTAATAATAAATGTGAACTATTACCATAATACTCCAAACATTACATCTTAAAGAGCCTCTAATGTCATGGCCACCTTCTAGGAAGAGTGCCACAACCATTATATCTCAATACAAACAATCCAACTAGTTACATAGCTTCTGAATTAGCATCTGACTCTTGCGAGCTCTTTTAGATTCCTGCAGTATACCTAATCTGTCTGTAATCTCTCTTCTTATTTGAGCAAATACAAAACCTATCTCTATATTTCCTTTCCAAAAGATTCTCCAATTCCTAGCTTGCCAAGTATAATACAGCATTGCTCCCCATATTGCTACAACTATTTTTTTTTTCTTATGAAACTAGTTCCATTTCTTCTTTTTAATCCATTTGATCACTTGACTTGCTGCAGTGTCCTGTAATCTGATGCCCAGCCATGTGCTCAGTTTTTCCCTAAGCTCTGAGATCCATTTACACTTGCCAAAGAGGTGCAATTGTGTCTCTGTCTGTGCCTGATCACATAAGCAGCATTACTGTTCATCTACATGGATCATAAGTCTGCTTAGTCTCTCCTTGGTTAGCAACTTATTCGGGTATGCTAACCATACTAGAAATCTCTGTTTAGGCAGCATAATAGAGCTCCAGATTAAGTCAGCTTCCCGTACTCTGTCCATAGGTCCCAGCATCTGCTGATAGCTCCTTGACATTGAGTACTTTCCTGTTGTAGTTAATAGATACTTGTTGCTCTGATACCATCCTATCATCTGTAGCTTGAAAGGGTTTGATTTCTTCCAATACTAGCTGCCATCCCCTGGCGGATTATGTTCCCATATAGACTCATTGTTATTCATGTAAATACTGTTGATCCACTTCACCCATAGGATATTATTTTTCCTAGCAAGCTGCCATAGCAGTTTCCCTATAGAAGCAACATTCCATTTACTACAATCTTTAATATTCAATCGCCAATACCTCTTTAGTACACACACTCTGTCCCAAGCTACAAGAGTTATCTTCCTTGTCCCATCTGATTTGCCCCATAAGAAATCCCTACACTTCCTATCAACCTCTTTAACTACACTTTGTGGTAATATAAACACAAATGTCCAGAAATTGTAGATGGAAAACAATACTGCCATAAATACCTGCAATCTACCAGCATATGATAGTTGTCTTGTATAGGCATTTATTCTGCTTGTGATCTTGTCCACTAGCTGTTTGCAATCCATCTTGTTCCATTTTCTAGAGGTAAGAGGTAGACCCAAGTATCTGATCGCCAAGGTTCCTAAGGAGAAACCTGTTTGTCTAATAATTGCATGTTTTGTGTTCTCATCAACACCTGCTATGAAAATATTGGACTTTTCCTTGTTTGCCTCCAATCCTATGACTAGGGGTGTCAATGGTACGGTTCGGACGGTTATTTTATAAAATCTGTACCATACCAAATTTTTGATTATTCTATTATGTATAACCAAAATTAGACTTTTCGAAAACCGTCCCAATCATGTCGGTTTCACTTCGGTATCGGTACGGTTCGGTTAATTTTCGGTATTTTTTAAATATCATGTAAAATTCACCAATAGAAGTAGATACAATAACATATGTTCTTTTACAGGACTTACCAAAACTTTCTAGATATTTTACTGTTTAAAAGGGTGATAAATTAAAAAACAAGAAAGATGGCTAGAGTATAGATCCATCAACTATTCGACAGCAACATAAAAGAAACCAAGTAAAAGCAAATAAAATATAAATCACACGAGAGGAAAGATATTAACCAAGTCGGAACTCAAGAATAAAGTTTATATTAAATATTCCAAAAGAAAAATCTAAATTGTATGAAAGGAAACATATCAATACATTGTAGTTTTCTACTCATAATCGCTAGAACACTTTGTGTCTTGCTAATAAAGATACTTGAAATAACTTAGTTTAAGTATAAGTAGCATAATAGATTTTAGGAATTAGTATTTTGAGTTTAATTACTTGTTGGCTTGTAACAATTTTCATAACTCCAAGACCCAATAAAAAATTTAATGCTTTATTCGTTTTAAACTTACTATATAAATATATTTTCCACATATAAAATTTATTTGGTACGATTCGGTATTTTTTCGGTTTATTTTTATAAAATAAAAAACCTACCCTAATTATCGGTACGGTTATAGATTTATATAAAAACCTACGGTTTCTTTAAAAGAAACCTAAAAATCGGTTCGGTGCGGTACGGTCGGTCGGTTTAGTCGATTTTCAAATATCCATTGACACCCCTATCTATGACCTCACTGAAATGCTGCAGTGCTTCCATGACTCTAGCAATAGATCTTTCATTCCCTTTGCAAAGATCATAAGATCATGTGCAAAAGCTAGGTGAGTCAATTTTGTAGCCTTACACATGGGCTGAAATCTAAAGTCTGGTAGCTCACTCATCCTGTTTAGGACTCTAGAAAGGTATTCCATAACCAGAACAAACAACAAGGGGTATATAGGGTCCCCTTGCCTTAGTCCTCTCCTTCCTTCAAAATACCCATACATTCCCCATTAACTTTGATTGAGAACTGTGCTGTGGTTACACAAGTCATTACCAGACTAGTGAAGCTCTGCGATAAACTCCCAGTTGATCATGTCATAGGCCTTTCTTCATTAGGCATCTAGGGGAGGTCTTCCTGATGTTATTGGTCTGAATTGGGTGGCATTTTTTGGGACTGAAACTTTAGGAATTAGTGAGATCACTGTCGAGTTAATCTGTCTCAATAGCTTGCCATTCTCGAGAAAATCCAGGATTGCTTTGGTAACATCTTTGCCTATTATGCTCCACGCTTCTTTATAGAAACCACTTCCATAACCATCAGCTCCAAGACCCATACAAATGTTTAACACCACAATTTTCTTAAGACTTATAGCCACACGTTTGAGACAAGTTTTAAAAATATTTTTTTTCTTTCTTGAATTTCATGCTGAATTAAAGTGTATCGGATAATGGAGGGAATAGTACCTCCATGTATAATATATCTTCTCAATATTGCAATTGTATTTATAATCCTTCTCTCTCTCCGATAAAAGTACTTATTAAATGGAATTTTGACCACTAACCAAAGTAGAAGAATTTAAACACGTGCTTACCTTGATTATGTTGCTTACAGAGTCATATAAGGTTGAAAATATTCATTATTATATGAAGGACCTATAGTGATGTTACCGTGTTAGAATGTGATCTCAGCTGGAAAGTTTGAAGACTCGCTGTGACTAGGTAACATAATATTTTTTTTGATTTAAGTCCCACATTAGGGGGTAAAGCACTCCCTAACACAGGCGACAAGGATTCGAACTCGAGACCTCTGGTTAAGGATGAAGGAGTACTTACCACTCCACCAAACCCTTGTTGGTGACTAGGTAACATAATATTAATTATACTTATCTATTTATTTTTTTAGTGATATCGAACAAAAGTTAAATAATAGTTCAAAAGTTAGTTTGATGAGAAAACATCACAATAGAATTTAAATATTGAACATGAAAAAGAAAGATTTAAAATTTGAAAAGTTCAATAAATTGGAATTCTTAAAAGTTCGAAAAAATATCTAATAAAAGCCGAAAACTTTAGACGCCATCTTTGACAGTATAACATAAACTTTTGTCAATCTCCTTACATATCTTTGACCAAACCGACACAAATGTATGAAGTGGAGTTGCTCAGTTTCAATGTTAAAGAAACAAGGAACACTCTTTAGGATTAGGTATTTGTCTCTTTCTGCCTTATTTTATGAGGATCTACTACTATAAGAGGGGGGAAAAAAGTGAAGGAAGATAAATGCATATTTATAAATAAGAGGTTTAAATATTTTTAGAAAAATATGAATGAAATAACTACTTTAACATCTTTTTAATTTCATGTAATGAAATAATCATCAGCGCCTTATGAATTATTTAATTTTGATCTTTTAACTATTTCTTTTGAAACATTTCATTTATGCTTAGTTTCGCTCCCAAAAAAATACTTTATAGTTTATCTGCATCATTTTACATACATGTAATATTTTCGAAATTAATAATTTCTTTTAGTTATGACTGTTTAAGTACTTTAAATATTCTTAATTATGAAAGTGATGATTAATAATACTTTTAGATTCTCATGAAAAATGAAAAGTTGGATATTGTTTGGGACGGAGAAGTATGAAAAGAGTACAGTATTGGGATTTGATAAATTGTTAGACCAAGTGGTACCAAGAACAGTAGCGAAAGTATTCTTTGAGCAATAAGTATTTATATTAAACTTTAAAAAGTTAATTTTGAAACAATATTAGTTCAGGATCCCTATAAATAGTAAATTAAGTAATTTAATTCAGGTTGTTAAATTAAAGTAAGAGGATACATTGTTCGCAACAAATTTATGCAGGGAAAAATAAAACCGCAATCACAAACAACTATAAAGAAAAAATGATTTTATTGATAAACATTGCAGGTTACAAATCTGTTTATCCCTTAATTCTTCCCTCCAATTTATTCTACGTGATTCGAGGCGGCATATTTCTCGAACGTTGGATGATGCTGACCTACTCAGATGTATTTGATATCCATGAAAAGGAAGAACATCCGTCGATCACTTCGGCGGCTTTGAGAAAGACAATATTATTTGATGTCTTTGATCTCTTTGCGAATATTCCATGATTTTTTAATGGAATTTCGAGATCGTCTGTGAAGGATACATGTAGCCTTATTTATAGGCATAAATTAGGGTTTTGGTAAAGTAGGCACCAAGTAACCTAATAGACTCCTAATATTTCAAGATTTGTCCTAAAATTAGAACTTATTTAAAATTTCAATGTCTACATATATTTTGAATTTTTTTCTATATATGCGCATGGCTTGTAATTGATTTAGTATAAACATTTTATGTCATTTTTTGGGTAATAAATAGTCAAAAAAGAAAAGGAAAAAATAAAAAGTGAATGAATATGAGTATATTTTTAATTTGTTAGTCAAAAGTTGGAACCTTGACCATGGTTAGGTACACTATATTTTCTGTCTCTGTCTCTGTGTCTGTCTTTGTCTCTCCAAAGCAATTGTTTCTGAGCACCGGCAAACTTCTCCCTTTATCTCTCTCTCTCTCTCAGATCACTGCTTAACCTAACAGATCCTCTTAGGTCAGTACATTTTTTAGCTCAATCTTTTACTTAATTTACACTTTTGTCTATATATATGTAAAGTTGCTGCCCCTTTTTTATTTATTTATTTTGTTTGAGGGTTTAAATTTCCAAAGGTTTTTAGGGCTATGATTGAATGTTAGTAAATGGTGTGTTGAGTTGACTGTTTTAAATGCAAATGAAGTGGAAATGTAAAGTGGGTAGCTCTATTTATGTTTATATATACATATATATTTATGTATAAATGTAAAGTTGCTGCTTTATTTAAATGCTTATGGGGTTAATTTCCAAAGGTTTTAGGGCTTGGAGTGTTTCAGAATCAAGAAGAGGAAATTAGAAAGTGGCTAGTTTTATTTATGTTCTTATGTAACTTATATTTATTTACAGGGGGGTGGGGTAAATCTTGAAGTGGTAGTGTTAATCTTAGAAAATCTAAATGGGGATGTGTGGTTCAATTTCCTGCTCAATGGTCATAATATCATGAAATGTATTTACCAACATTGAAATGAGCGGGTTCGAACTCAGTGGAATGTGTATAAAGGATAGTTGGGATGCGCACAAGCTTGCCCGGAAACCACTATACAGGATTCATGCAGCTGATCCAAGCTAACTTAGGAATCAGGATTGAGGCTTAGTTAATTGATTGATTAATGATGCGTTGTCATTTGCGAATAAATGGGACTAGGTTGGTTTTGGGTCCTTAGGGAGTGATACTGACTGGCACCTATTAGTTATTACTGTAGGAAGAAACACTACTTCTCAAAACAATTGCTTTCCCTATGTATTAGAAACATAACCATTAGAAATTGGTTGTTACACTCTCATTCTTGATGGTTTTCCATAAACATTTCATCCAAAATTTGACCATCAATTCTATAGCAGGTTTCAACCTTTCTGAGTGTTCTTCCAACAATGAAATTTTGAACTTAGTTTCTATTTCGTAAACATATCATTTTCATATATTTCTTTTGTATAATTCCCTCATTTAACTATGAGAGGTTTTTTGTGTGTGTGGGGTGGGGGGTGGGGAAGGGTGTTAACTTGGACTTTTATTAGATTGAGATGCAAACATGAAACCACAGAGACGTATTTTGGTTATTCTTTGAATTCAACTGAACTGGATGTGCAGTAAAGTCTTTTTCCCAGTATATTACCTTATTATCTTATTTCTTGTCTGTTTCTCTGAAAATAAGGTATACATGGACATCATAAAGGAGTTGCTACAAAAGATTTGAGATCTCTAGCTTGACTATCACACAGGCCTATGCTGTGTGTGGTATTAGAAAACATGGGCTTGTTGTGCAGCAGAAACAAAGGCTACAATCAAGCCGATGATGAGGAAAATACTCAGGTATGAGTTATGCGAAATAATTTGGAATATTTGGTAATTGTCCATAGTGCTGTCTTTAAGCTAGGAGAGCAAAGAATCTATTTTCATCTTGCTTAATGCATAAGCACCAGTGTCCTTACTAGATCATGCGTCTACAGACTGCAGATATAGAAAGACGTATTGAGCAAGAAACAAAGGCGGACAAGCATATTCAGAAACTTCTTCTACTTGGTAAATCAGAAAAATTAGTCTTCAATTCTCCTATGATCTAGTCATTTCTTACTGTTAGCGTTTCCTTTTATGTCACCATATCAATGTAGTGATTCACGATTTCTATAGACATCTTTCACCTAAACCTGTTAATTCGAGGAAAGCAATTGATTTTTGAACTTTTTTGAAGCTTACTGTTGTGTGTTTTACCGCATGATTAAACTTACTGTTGTGTGATTTCTGGTCTATGTCCTGTTTGACTGTGTTTGCTGAATGCTGATCTTTCTGTTGTTTCAAGGTGCCGGAGATTCGGGGAAGTCCACTATTTTTAAGCAGGCAAGAGATCTTATGATTAATCATTCACGATTTCATTATTCTCTAAATGTTCATGATAATGTATTTCTTTTAACTCCACTTTCCTCTATTTATTTTGCCATGCAGATAAAACTGTTGTTCCAAACTGGCTTTGATGAAGCAGAGCTAAAGAACTATATCCCTGTCATTCATGCCAATGTCTATCAGACAATAAAAGTACGGAATACTTGAAAGGGTGTGTTGGTTATTTCCCTTTTTGCAAAATAGCTGCTGCTTGTTAGAGACGTGCATATATAGAAATATCATTCACATGCTTTATAACGCGGGTTGATTAGTAATGTCACGGAAACTGACATTCTTACATGGTGGGTGTTTGGTGACATGACAGGTATTACATGATGGGTCGAAGGAATTAGCTCAAAGTGAATTAGAAGCCTCAAAGTATCTTCTATCAGCTGAAAATAAGGTTTGTCTTATTCATTCATTGTGCAATTTCTTTGCTTTTCTTGCTTATTATTACCAGATATTTGGGCTATCATCTTGAAGTCATTTAGACAAGGGAAACCCTTGAAAGTGAGGACATGTGATTGCTTGTCTTGCTTAGCTGCATGAACATAATAACGTATTTCTTTGCACCAGGATATCGGCGAGAAGCTTTCAGAAATTGGAGGCAGGTTGGATTATCCTCACCTGACTAAGGATCTGGTGCAGGATATTGAAGCTCTTTGGAAAGATCCTGCTATTCAAGTAATCTTGCTTTGCTTAAGCCCTTTGATGACTTTATTTCAGTGTCAAGTACTTTTTTAAGGCGTGATGATTTGGATTATGATAATTGTTTTTACTTATATAATTAAAAATTATTGATAATTGAAACAATCAATTCATTGAAGTCAATCAATCAACTATGCCTCAATCCGTAGCTAGTATTTTACAAAAATCCCAAACTAGTGGGGTTTTCGTGATGATCTTCTATATATTCTGCTCTATTGGGGCCATTTCACATTTCATTTCAATGCCACTTTTTCTTTGTCTGCAAGTCAAGTTCAGTAGTTCTACAAAACTAGAGGTTTCTTAAATCTCACTCTTATTCCTAATTCTAATGTTGAAAACCAGCAACTGATCCTTATTCCTATATAGTTGGAGTTGTCTATTTGGATCATTTGTTTCCATCATGTTCTAGTCTTAACTCAGTTCACATTGTTCCTAGATATCATAGATCTTTTAGATAAGCACCCTAGGGCGTGGCCTAGTGGTCAATAAAGTGGGTGCAAAACTGGGATCAAATTCCGCCGGAGATAAAAAGCATTAGGTGATCTCTTCCTATTTGCGTAAGCCTTGGTGGATAGAGTTACTCAATACCTATGCTGGTGGGAGGTATCAGGAACTCGGTGGTATAATGGAGGTGAGCGCAAGTTGGTCCAGACACCACCGTTATAAAGGAAAATCTTTTTAGATAACTTTTCTCCGTGTGATTCTAGAATTACCTTGTCCCTTTTTAGCACCTTCAATCACTAAAGTCATACCTACAGATTGGTGAATTTGGAGGGATGACTTAATAATCTCACCTTCTCACATTTTATTCTGTATGTATGTTACTTGCACCCTTCTCTGCCTAAGCATGAGTGGACAGAGTTACCTAGTACCTATTTTGATGGGCGGTAACAAGTATCGGTGAAATAGTTGAGGTGCAAGTAAAATGGCCCAAAACCACCTTCATAAAAAATGTATGTTACTTGCACCTGTAATGCCATCTCCTAGAAGATTTAACCCATATATTTGAATAGTTTGCATTAAAGCACCACAATCATTCACTTTACCTTCATTCTTCTTGTGCGGGCTACACTGGCAATGCATATAATACTGTCTTTATTAATCCCAAAATCCTTATTCTCTAGATCGCTTCTCCATAGTTCTAGCCTTTAATTTTATTGAAGTAAATCACTTAGAATTTGATTTTTTCATACAATGGCTAATCAGAGATTCTGATTAATTAGCCTGATGGTGAAAATCCAAACTACGTGAACCCTTAATCTTTTATCGAGTATCCAAGAAAAGATTAACTTTTCATTACTCTGATAGAGTTTTCTTTCTTTCTTGTAGGAAACTATTTTACGTGGTAATGAGCTCCAAGTTCCAGATTGTGCCCATTATTTCATGGAAAACTTGCAGAGATTTTCTGATATAAATTATGTCCCATCAAAGGTAAGAAATAGAGACTGTATCATGTATGCTTTCGTTTCTGTATACCGATTATATTAACTGAAATATATGGAACTAGAATGATATTGAAATAAATAGAATATAGGAAGTCTTGAGACTCTGAGTTAGTATGTTTTACAGTTCTACCAGTAGTCAGAAGATTAACAACAAGTTGTTCATTGGTTGTATACCAACTCTTTAATCAATGAGGTATTTTCCAATTAAGAGTTCGCTTTCATTGCAATAATAAAAATCTGTTCTACTTTTCATACTGAATTTTCGAAGAAATCAAAGCCATCTGTACTTCAACCCAATGGTAAAACTATCCTCTACATGATGTTGAATTCACAGTTGTTGATAGCAGTTTTGGCTCAGATGCATTATTAGAACTATTTTACCATTAGGATTTGGGTCCTAGGGGTGTCTATGTAAACCGAAAAGAATACTAATCTTGACATGCATAGCTTTGGCAGGATGGGCCAAGCCAGTTTTCTTTCTGATCTCATTTTAATCCACCCGTTTGACACCCCTAGTGTTGGTCAAATATTTCAACATTCAAACTGCAACTTTCTAGAGTCAAATACGACGTCGAGCGCCCAAGATACTTGCTATTACACAGTACACTTGCCCTTGCTTATCACTTATGCCTGTATCTAATTTTCTATTACACTAGTGGTGTTCTTTCTATAGGCAGTGTAAGTGTAGGAAGTACAAGTGTTGCCTGTCTATTGTTGGTAAAGAAAAGTGTGGTCCATCAATTAAGTTCTCATTGTGCTATTCAATTACTCTTAATTGCTATAATTTCTTTCTTCATACAGAGCTTGTTGGATCGTATCTCGTGAATTGTATAAACTTCCTTATCAAAAGATGGGATGTTGTTATCTATATATTATTCCTTTATACACTCCTTTAAGTGCAGGCTAGATACATTTCCCTGCCAAGCACGTCAAAATTCTTTGATGATGATGGCTGTGATACTTTAACAAAGGAATACTGTTTGTTCCATTTGTGTTGAATTGTGTAGAACTCCTCATTTACAAAATTAAGCTGTTAGAATAGAAACCGTTTGTTTTTTCAATTGTCTTTAACACAGTTCCCTATATGCATAGTCGAGTAATCATTTTTCTTGTTATATTGTAGGAGGATGTTCTTTTTGCCCGAATTCGAACAACTGGTGTCGTTGAAATACAGTTCAGGTGAACTTCACGCATCCTTGAACTGTCCTCGTATCGATTTACTAAAACCTCACTTTTAGTGGTTTATATACATTTTGATCTCTTACTGCAGTGTTGGTTTATATGCTTTTCGATGTGTCAAGTCTTAGCCACCCTGTTTAAATGCTATTGATCTAGTTTAATGCAGTTGCGGGTTATCTTCATTAGGTTCTGCCTACTTATGCATATCTCTTCCCCAACCTTCGTTTAGTCTCTTTGTCCCTCATCTATTGACTAAGTGCCTAATCATAAGGTGCATTTATATGTCCTTAAATTTCTTGATTATTAATCATTTTATACTTGTAATGCACCGGTTCTTGTGGTCCTCCAACGATGCAATTGCTTATAACCTTGTCTATTTTCCCCCTTTTTCCCCCCTTGTAAGACACTTTTGTATTCTATCTAGTTTGGGTGCAAGGCCTAATAACTACTAAAATATTTGCAGCCCAGTTGGAGAGAACAAAAAAAGTGGAGAAGTATATAGGCTTTTTGATGTTGGAGGTCAGAGAAATGAGAGAAGAAAGTGGATTCATCTATTTGAAGGTGTCACGGCAGTCATATTTTGTGCCGCTATTAGTGAGTAAGATTTCTGCTCCTAGCTTTCTGATATTTCTAAGATCATTTGCTTTAAGTAAATCCAATTTCTACTTGATCATAAGTAGCAATACATGGATCATGTAGCTTTCCAGATTGAGGAAGAAAATTAAAGTTAGTTAATGTAGGTCAAAAGGATTTTGAATTTGTCAGTAAAGGAAATGAGGCAACTGCATACTTGTTGTTGTTCTATTTTTTTTCCAGTCACTTATTATTGTTCTATTATTCACTTCAGGTATGATCAAACTCTATTTGAGGATGAAAGAAAGAACCGAATGATGGAGACCAAGGAACTCTTTGAGTGGGTCTTAAAGCAACCATGTTTTGAGGTCAGTTTTTCGTTGTCTACTAGAAGACCGATGCTTGGTTGCGAACTTGAATTTTATATCCATCTGTATCAACGTGTACTTATGGCTCTCCTAGTTTTATGCTTTTGCATCACCTTTTTCATCCAAAAAGAAAAAGAAACTTTTGCATCAACTTTCTGGGGTTTTTCAAAAAAACAAATGAAACCAATTATGTAGCTTACGCTTTATTGTTTGTGCAGAAAACTTCCTTCATGCTATTTCTCAACAAATTTGATATATTTGAGCAGAAGGCTCTGAAAGTAAGTACATATTATCTAGTGGTGGTGTCTGTCTGTCTTTGGAACCATTCTTTTCGTCTAAGAATATCCCATGGTTATAGGTGCCTCTGAACGTCTGTGAGTGGTTTAAAGATTACCAACCAGTTTCAACAGGAAAACAAGAGATTGAGCATGCTTATGAGTAAGCTTTCTCATGTGCAGCACTTTTATATATGAGTACATGTTACTGATTCCACTGATGCATTCGTTGGGCTCTATAAAAGTACTTTTTTGGTCCCAAGACATATGTAAGCTCAATACACGCACACACATTCATTTGCTCAAAGATTTTTCCTGATTAGACACTATATCATGGTTGTTAATTCATCTATTCTTTAGCTATTTTCAGTCTATTTTCTGCTTTTTGGCTCTACCATTATTTTGGGTCTTGGGGATGTCGGGGTAGAGCCCTTACTCTTTCCTTTAAAACTGTTGCTCAATTCATGTGCTGAATGAACGTTCTATATTTCAATGATCTACTCTTTAGGTTTGTAAAGAAAAAATTTGAGGAGTCATATTTCCAATGCACTGCACCAGATCGTGTGGACCGGGTCTTTAAGATATACAGAACCACAGCCCTTGATCAGAAGCTTGTCAAGAAGACTTTCAAACTGGTAGACGAGACGCTGAGAAGGAGAAACCTCTTTGAAGCAGGTTTATTATGAAATTCTTTAAATTTTGGAAACAGAAATGTTCATACTCTGAAAGATGCATACAAGTGTGAGGTTCAAACACAGAAGAATAGGCTACTGGCGTATCATATCCAATTCCACTATTTAAAGTTTTGTCAATGTTAGGTCTCTAAGCACATATTTCTTTCTATATTCCTGGTGGTCTTATGTTGTATTTACCGAGCACATGTTCCAAAACAAAAAATTGATATTCAAGTATATTCGATCGATGTTCATTTCGTTGAAATCTTGTGGTCAATCTCACATCTCGAGTTGTACATGCATCGTTAGTCTCCTTTTGCTATCTCGTGATTTATTTACTTTATTGTATAGCTCTTGCCAGCTTATGTTATCAGAGTGTTGTTATTCCAGACACTTGTTCTAGATTTCAACTATTTTCCATGATATTTCCGCATCTGTTTTGGCTTAGAAGTCAATAAAGCGGGTGAAAATTATGGAGAATAAAGTGCAAATTTGAGCTGACAGAAAATATCGCTAAGTGATTTCTTTTCATCTGCTGAAAGCTTTGGTGGTTAGAGTTAATCTGTACCGTGTTGGTCGAAGGTGATTACTTGGGAGCATTTACCTTATGTGATCCCCTCATTCTCATAGTTCCAAATGCTGAATATAGTAACTTCCCTTCCTTCTTTTGGTTGACACATTGCAGTATGCACAGGACAGGGCCAATTGTTTGCTATAAACCTATTTATAAGGTCGACTTACTATATTCACGATCTAGTCTATTTTGTCAAATATTTGAAGGTTTCCGTTGGAGCATCTTATATTTTAGTTTTTAAATATTGATTTGATCATCGGTATTTGCATGTACTGACTTCAATTTGAAATATTCTAACGGCAGTCACAACTCTCTATAACAACATCCTTATATAATAATATTTTACTATAAAAACTAAGATTTTTCGGAATTAATTATCATGTTATGTTATAATGTATGTTCTATATAACAACATTTCGCTATAACATTCAAAAATATTCAGAACAAACGAGGCTTTATAGAGAGGTTTGACTGTAGTTTAATGAGCATTTCAAGTGACAAAATGGTTCTCCATCTTCAACTTTTATATTTAAACACAACTTCAATTACCAAATTAATATTCTTTTTTCAACCAAATATTATCTAAACGCCTACTTAATACATGATATACTTTTACATCCATTTCATGCTTATGATGTGCGAAAGTGACTTGGATGATGTTTGAGACTAAATTGAAATATTATTTCAAAACTCATGTTTGGCCATAAATTTTGCTCATATTTTGGCCAAATTCCAAATCTCAAATTTCAAATCCCAAAATCAGCTATTGAGTTGATTTTCGGCCAAAATTCCAAAACGTGGGAATTATATACATGTTTTTCTAAAATAAAGTTGGAAAATATGTTTTGAAAACGTATGTCCAAACACATTTTCATCTTCAAACCAAACTTCACCCAAATCAGATTTTTCAAAATAAATTTGGGATCTATGGCCAAACGCTAGCTTAAAATCATGTCAGTCTCTGTCTGAAATTAGTGATAAAGAGAAGTAACAATTAAAAATTAAAGTTTGGAAAGTTTTCACGAGTTAACGTGACACTCTTTGACTTTGCAAAATTTTAACATCCGCAAGTTGCTAATTAACCAACAACTCCTAATCCTTATCCGTTACTAATTTATTGTATTAGCTGATGTTAATCATTTTGAATATATGTCCGTCGTGTTATAGGCTGGGAGTTCAGAGTTGTTAGTAGCGACTAAATGTTCATAAGTTGTTGTTTTAGTAGAAATTGCATGTTTGTGTTTAAGGGTTTAGGGCATGGGTGATGCATGAATCCAACTTGCAGGCATTTCACTTAAAGCTTATACTAAAAAATTTATTTGCACTCGATGTTTTATACAAACTTAATGAATATATAACAAAGTGTTTTTGCTTATTGTTTGCCGTGAAAATGGTAATAACAATTAGATTTTATTAAGGGATTCTAAAAATACGTGATCTATTTTTATGCTAGTTGTTATTCAGTTGATGCTATATGAAATACGCAGAAGCGAGATTAGAGCTTAAAAACGAGATGTCAATCGAATCGAATATCTGCCAGTCGGGGCCTCGAGCTCGCCTATTCGGGGGCCTCGAGGTCGAGTCGAGTGCTCGGCTGGGAATTATCGAGGGTAGTCGGCGGATGATTAACAGTAATAATAGGATCAATTATGGCTCTTTATGGCCAATAATAAGCAGTAAATGAAGAACAATAAATAGAACACAGTGAATGTAAGCAATAAATGAAGTAATGAACTCAAAAGAATATGTTAGAGAGCAGAGAGAATGTTTGTGTATTTCTTGATATTGAGTGGCCAACCTCTACAAAATGACAAGGATCCCTTTTTATAAGAGGGGGAATTTCAACATAGTACAAACGCATTAATTACCAAGATATGGGGTCAGTACAACCATTTAATGCCTTGATTCGCTTTTCTGACTAGCCCACTAGACTAGTCCAGCTATATGTATGCATCTTGGGAACTCCACCTTGATCTGCCGATACCGCTAATTCACCTTGCCTCGGGGCAGTCATCGCTTATAATATCTTGGAGTCGCCCATTGAGAATTCTCGGGGTCGATTACTGGTAACCCTCGAGATGCCTTGATGCTCGTGAAATCGAGCCATCGGTTTCTACCGTATACAGATAGTCCCCGCGTTTCCTAGAACAAAGTGATAGGAAACGATTTTGAGCTCCTACTTCGCAAGCATCATCGCTATGACGTCAGCTCGTCAGAGCATTAAATATCATACTAAAAAAAACCGCACAGGGATCGCCGTCAATACGACTATCGAGAAGCCCACGAACCGCTATTGGTTCGTCCTTTCCGCTGCCCATATGGCTCCTATAAATGTCTCAGTTGTTTGGTAATTCGTACTTTCACAATATCTTCAAAAATTACTTTTAAGATATGGTTTATTTTAATAAGCAAATATATGTTTTGATAAGATAACTGCTACAATGGTAACATTCAGTTATTTTAATGTGTTAATTTTTTTTTTAGATACGATTTTAATATTATTATGAATAAGGTTTAGGAACAATAGGCATTGCTTAGAATTGCTATTTAATTAGATCCTTACAGTTTCCCTTGATTGTCGATTGATCAAATTTAATTCTCCATTGTCAGTATTATCTCTACTGTTTTTTTATTCAAGTACATCACAACATTCACTAGAAATTACATGACACCTCCTTAGTTTGGAGTTTGGACTAATGTAATTCACTCTCACGTGCATCGTTCTTTGGTTAATTATTATGTGATTAAAGCGCTAACAAGGAGCCGTGAAAATACCACGGCCTAGCTAGTTTTCGAATCAATAATTGAAAAATAGCCAGCGTTTGCAAATTCATTGAAAAATAGCCACTATTTTGATGCAACACGGAAAGTTCCAGCATAATATACTGGAGATTGGAGCTCCTGTGTATGAACTTCCAGCAAATTATGCCGGACCAATATATTATGCTCGAAATCCAGTATACTGGAACTCAGTATATTATGCTGGAATATTTTTCGGATTTTGAACAATGTTTTCGTTCAAATTTATTTTATTTGAAAAATGGCTAAATTTCGAATACTTTTGAAACTATGGCTATTTTTGAATTACCACTTGTAAATATTGGTTACTTTTGAATTTCACCCCAATGAGCCGATTCACTATAGTAGCTATATATTTTAAACAATTAGTTCTGTTACTATCAATTAAATTTTAGAGTGTTACTTTATATAGAAAAATGGGTAAAACTTCTTTAAATTTGAGATGAGAAAATCTTTTATATTATAATAAGAAAAGTCATAATATGGATAAGTCCACGTAACTCATGTCTAATAGATAAAATGTAAAACTAAAAATATTAAATAATAAAAATAAATTAGAGATAATGTGAGAATGTTTATATTCATAAGTTAAAAAAATAAAATAAAGTAAATATACAATAATTAAAAATATTATTAACAAATTTAAATAATTTAAATTCTTTTTAGCAATATTCTAAAAAAACTATTTATTTTATGATTAAAAAATTTATATGTTTATCTATATTGTATTAAAGAATAGTAGTGGATAATGATATTAAATAAAGTTACACGTTAATGAAAAGCCACATAGAACGTAATAAGACTATATAATAGATAAAAAATAGCAAAATTAAAGAAAATTATTAAAAAGTTACTATTAGAAATGAAAGTGAAGGACTATTTGAATTTGAGATTTGAAAGTTCTTAAAATTATGATGAGAACGTTAAAACTATGGATAATACCACGAAATTGAACTCTTATTTAAGAAAAATAAAAATGTAATAAGAAATAAAAATTTAAAAATACAAAATAAAATCCAAATATAGGCAATTTCACTAATAAAAATTAAAAATTAAGTTTGTATCTTAAATTAAAAAGGAAAGAAAATTTACATAAAGAAATAAAATGACACTGAAAATATTACTACAACACTTAGAATAATTTGTTCAAAAAATTAAATAAATATTTTCTATAATTTATATCTGAATGAGTGTAGTTAGTTTAAGTTTGAAAGTATAACATAATTTTTTGAAAATGTGGTCTAATTCAGAAAATAAAATAATAAGAATTATTTGTATTTGGGATGAGATTTTTTTATTTCATAATTTTTTTATTTTTGAAATATTACGTAAAGAAATAAAATGACAGTGAAAATATAATAATCAAAGAACTTATGATTAATATTTTAGACTAATTCAAAGTTATAATTTAAATAAAAATATGATATTATTTGGGCAATAGGTAAAACATTGATATAAAAACTAATTAAAATTTATAGTAGGGAAGAGAATGTATAAAAATAAATAGACTTATACTTTAAATTAATTTAAAAATAAATAAATTAAATAATTAAATTATCTTTAAAAATATTATTGATAGATTTAAATGATTAAAGAATTCCGAGTAAGAGGATACAAGCATAAAATATATTAAATTTCAAGAGTAAAAAATTTATATTTATTAAAGATTATTAAAAGGATAATAAGCAAGATATTAGGTTAATTGTTAAGCTAATAAAAGATTATATGATAGTATAATAATATTAAATAATAAATAATACAATAACTATAAGTAAAGAACAAAAAGAAAAAAGAATTTGCGTAAAAATAATGTGATGAATAAGACTTATTTGACTTTCAGATAAAAACAAAGTGATAGTAAGAATTTTGTTAAAATAATATGTTCTTATGTGCTCAAACAAGATAGATCACAATATGATATGTTTGTATTCTTTAATAGTGATAGCGAAACGAAATACAAATACTTGAATCAAGGGGTTAGGTTGCTATAGATATAGGAAAAATAGGTTGTTGACTGCGATATTTGAACAATAATTTCATATTCTGTTTCTTAATTAAAATATAGATAATTGTATAATTTTAATCTGAGAGGTTTAGTTTAAGGTTATCTGCACATGATTCAAACAACATACTCATAATTTGATATGAATTGTGTCTGCGCATCGCGCGGGTAGTAATACTAGTATATATTAAACAATTAGTTCTGTTACTATCAATTAAATTTAGAGTGTTACTTTATACAGGTCAAATTTTTTTGGTCCGAAAAATATATACCCACTTTTGGGGCCATCATTAAAATTTTATCCGTATTACACAAAACTTTTCGTGTACTCCAGTTCAATCTCTTAAATACAACTTCAAAAATCAAATATGACGTTCTTTCATCTTTCAAATGCAATTTCAAAAATTCGAATATTAAGTAGTTCGATATCTTCAATGAAACTTCAGAAATAAAAATATATGAAATTCTTCTATCTTTCAAATGCAACTTCAGACATTCGAATCTTAAGTAGTCCAATCTCTTCAATACAATTTCAAATTTCAAATATTAAGTTCTGAAACATAAAGTTATTCTTCGAACTTCAACAATCCAACACACAATTTAATGCCTAAATCTACTTCAAATGAGCTCAAATTTGAAGCATAACTTCCAAATATCATAAAAAACAAACCTCAATAATCAAATTATCAAAACAACAACAAATTTAACAAACTTACTTTGCAACTAAGAAGAAGAAGAAAAAACTCTAAGCACAAAGAAGACAAAAGCAACACCGAAGAAGAAGAAAAAAGTGTGTATCTAAAGTAACCCAATAATTGGGTATCGGTTAAATTTTAATTTTATTTTAAAAAATGAGTATAAATTCAATGGGTGGCGAAAATAATAGGTGCCACATAAAAACTTTACTATAAAACTCTTATCATTTGGACCCAAACTCTCACAGATTATTTTTATTCTCTGCCTAAATTATAAAAAATAAGAAGAGGAGAAGCCTTTTATTATCCTATCCCGAATGTTTAATACGTTAATGTGAAATATATATATATATATATATATATATATATATATATATATATATATATATATATATATATATCCCCAAACTCTCTGCTACATTTTCCACTCAATATTCAAAATGTTGAGCAAGAAGTTGGTTTCCATGGCGGTTCTTTCCTTCTTGGTTGCGTTCCTTGTGATGGCCCAGGCGACAATTGGCGCTTTAATTGCCACGCCAATCAAATATAATTATTATGAGGAACAATGCGAAAGGGATGTAGAGGAAATGGTGTGGTCTACTATGCACAGAATAGTTGCAATGCAACACAATGCACCAGCACAACTCTTGCGCCTGCTCTTCCATGATTGTTTCATTGGGGTACCGTGCCCTATTCTCCCATTTTTCCAAAATTATTTTGTTTTTTCTTAGTCTGTAATTTCTTCGTGCTCCATATTTTTCTACTTTGTTGCAATTTCCGAATTCTTCATGTGTGTTTTTCTTTATCTTTTTGTGCATTGTTCATTGGATTCATTTAATCGGGTGTTTTGTGAATTCAAGCATTAGGTTTAATTTTTCTTCTTTTTTGGGGATGGGGAGGAATTTAGCCTCCTATGGAGGTTAAGAAAAGCATTTAGGAAGTCTTAATATGTGGTGTATATGATGCTGGTTTTTGCATTTCTTACTGGTATTCTTGGTTCTAGTTCATGCCTTATTTCACTCTAATTCATTTCCTCTGACATTTCTATAATTAGCCTTGAAAATTTTCATCTGTTGCATTGTAACCTTTTAATTCTTCATGTGAATTTATGTGTTCTCGTGCCTTGTGTTAGTCTTTTCTAAGTCAAGGATCATAACTGCTTCAACCGAGTCAGTTACTGTTGTCATTCCTATTTTTAATAAGTGCTCTTAATGAGTTTAGATTACTTAGCATGTAGTTTTATCTATATTGTTCCCGCGTACATAATTCTTTGGATGTTTTATTCTTTTGTGTCCTGCCCTGTAGTTCCTGATGTGAGCAGTAATGCTTGTATTTCTGCAGTGTATTTGTGGCTGTTTTCTTTCTTTTTAATTTGCTTTGTTATCTTAATTTGTGTGCCATGTGCTTGTCATTCTTCATATGTTCTCATTTATATTTGTGCCTCGTCTTAGTTGTTATCGAGCTTTCAACTGTAGATGCTCTTTGAATATCAAATGTGCACTCTTATTCTAATTATATATTTTTCAGCATTAGCACTCTTCTCGTTGCTTACTGAGTTTAGCATTCCCTTTACTTTATAGGAAAATTTGGAGATGCTTAATATCAATGAAGTTTTTATTCTTAAATCTCAATAGCCACTCTAAGACTCTGACAACTACTAATGTCACCTGTGAAGACAGTCACAATATCTTTGCCTTTCCTTTCTAAGTTCGTATGTTTATGTAATTTCTTACTCTGTTAATTCCAGGGCTGCGACGCATCTGTTCTGCTTGCTGACAATAGTAAGAATGAGACTATTGAACGCGAGGCAATCCCAAATAGGACACTGAAAGGGTTCAATTTCATCGACATGATAAAAGACGAAATTGAGGAGGCATGTCCTGAGGTGGTCTCTTGTTCTGATATCCTTGTCCTTGCAACAAGAGATGGCATCGTTCTGGTATGAGTCTGGCCTTGTTCTTTGTTTCTTGTAGTAACTACCTGAGGTTTCCTTTTAAAAAAAATTCTTATTCTTTTACTGATTTGTAAGTGTAATTCATATGATCTTGTTGTGCATATTTAGATGTTCCTAGTACGAGGGTAGTCCCTAAAATATGCCCATTGGAGTATTTTTGTCCCTTATCTATACCACTAAATATAAAATATCCCTTATCTTTATAAAAGTGGACACCTATGGTCTAACCCTTAAAAGTGTTTATAAAACTAACGGAAAAAGCTTCAAATAGTGTTAAAAATAGCGTCGTTAAATATTCTATTAGTATCCCATCACTTCATGACCTTGTAAACTCAAACTGCACCTTTGGAATCCTCTGCTTCCAATGCAAGATTATTCACCGACTTTGTAACCAGAAAAGATAAAAAATTACAGAATCAAATACCCTTTTCAAGGTTCAGGAACACACATTTGAATGTGTTTGTTATAAACATGAAAAAAGTTCTTTAGTTTCTTAATGAATGCATGAAGCTTCACACAGACAGAGCGCAGAGTTTTCACTTTTCTAATGTTTCTCAATCTCTGTGTTAGAAAAAAAATGCACTCTCCGTCTTTAAATTTTGAAGCTGGCTTTGTGCATAAGTATATTAATGTACCCATATTTTTAGAAGAAAATAAAGGAATTCATCAGTGAATATACCTATATGGAGTTAGGTACAGTCCCTTAAGTTGGTATCAGCTGAAAAACTTATGCAGGAAATTATATTCTAATAGACCAATTCAAACTAAAATAATCAGATATGTACTCTGAGAGAGATCATATATTTTCCACCTCTTTTTTACCACAAGGTCATGAAGCAGAAGGTTTGAATTCTTAAAAAAAAGGCTCAAAGCATAGAGCTACAAACTAGTACAGAACAATAGCTTCAAAAGCTAACTCATTCTAAGGTAGAGCTCTTAGAGTCCTACTTAACGACAGGAGAAAAAGAAAACGATTGAGAGATTTGATTACGACCGTTCGAGATTCGCGTTAGCATACTCGATATCGCACAGATCAATTTTACGGAACGCATGCATGGAGATTCTGTCTGTCGGAGGTTCGAGAATCTATAAAAGGACGTCTAAGGCTAAGCTTACGAAGTAAAGGAAGTCCATTACTGAGAGAAGTGGTGATCTCGTCTTGCTTGCTGGGAGAGAGGAAGCTTCCGGACCATTGAACCCTAGCTTCTCCTTCGATCCAAAAGCCGTCAATCGCATGTGCGATGTATCTAGAGTTTACCTTCGGATCAGACCTCAAAAACAGAAAGAGAAAAAAAAAGTGTCTTTAATTTCAATTACTTCGTTACGAGCAAATCACACGAATTGGTAACATATTGCAAGAAGATGCAGTACAAAATAAACAATGCATCGCTTTAACGAACTCCTAGATGGTTATACAACATCGCTTATTTTTCGATTTTCCTTCCGCCGAACTTCGTTTCTTTTGATTCCATGAACTTCGATTCTTTGATTTATTCTTCTAGGGCTCATAGTTTCTAAATTAGAGAGGGTCGAGTTGAATTTCTCAAAATTTTGGGAGAAAAGGGGTGGAGTTCGATTATGGATTTCAGGAGAAAGAAGGTCTGATGGGTAGGAGAGCGAGAGAATGAAGCAGAAAAATGAGCGATAGGATACTAACAGAATATTTAACAGCATTAATTTTTAACACTATTTGAAGCTTTTTCCGTTAGTTTTATAAACCCTGCTAAGGGTTAGACCATAGCTGTCCATTTTTATAAAGATAAGGAATATTTAATATTTAGTGGTATAGATAAGGGACAAAAATACTCCTATAGGCATATTTTAGGGACTACCAATGTCTTTTCCTCTTCCTAGTACATAACAAAAGCTTTTGATACCTTCATCATTTGTTAACAGTGTGTTCTGATAATATGTAGTTATTTAAAAACTATTCATCATGAGAAGTTTCTTCTAGCTTTTTGAGCCAAATGGCTATTATCAGTGTCTATTTCACAAGCTCCATTGGACCTATCATTTGTTCTGTCACATTCCATATTTCTATCATCACTAAGAAAGTAAAATGTGAAAAATGCGCTTCTCACTCGAACGAATCTCTTTCCAGTGAAACTGCCACTGAAAACTACATCAATCATCTTATCTTAATTAGAATTTCGATATGTTCTTTGTTTTCAGAATTCGCTTTACGAACAAAATATATCCTAAAATTCGCTTATAGCAGTTTCATAAAGCTATATTATTTTAAATAAAATATGATAAATCCTGCCACTTCTTCCTAAAATACCATTGACAAATATATGTTGTATGCAGTAAAAAATAAAGCTGCAGTTACAGCCCCCATATAGTAACAAAGATTGAAGATGCAGCCAACGCAGCTCTCGTATTTCATCCCAATAAACTATTTCTTCTCTTCACCTTTTAGTCTCTGACCCTTTTTATTTTATTTTTTTTTATATTATTTTTTCTGGGAACTGTGGATAGTGTGACTCTGAGGCTATGCTACTCTTATCTGTCTATTTACTGAATTTTCCACAAGGATATATTGATATGACTTAACAAAATAACTATAACTCACTTCACCACCTCCCAGAAACGATAAAACGATCTCATACAAAATAGTATATAAAAGTGACCACTTAGCTAGAGACGTACTTCTCATTTTTCTTTCTACTTCATAGATTGCGTAGTTTTGCTAGTTGCAACCTTGGCAACGCGGCAAGGTGTTGTTCAGGCTGATAAGAATGTAGGCACCCCGTGAAAGATGGTTATGGCGATTCAGATGATTCGATGACAGTGTGGGTGGGAAGGAGAAAAAGAAATTCTTAGGGGAGCCATTTCTTTTGATAGAAAGTTCATTTATGATTTTATTGAAATGGTGAGGAACAATTCATTAGAAGAAAGTCCATGCTAGAAATTCAAAAGGTATTTTTGCAAGTGTGTGAGCTAGTTGCAACGAATTGATTAATTAGGAGTCGTTATAACTCTTTAGCTAGTTCATTTAGTGTAGCCCGAGCTTACAAGGTTTTGATACACCGAAACTGCATTGACTCGAGGTGAGAGCTTGAGCACAATATGAGTTACATAAGTTCCCATATAGCAGTACATACTCTTGGATATTTTTAGAATGAGATGGTTGAACTATCAGTTTGGTATAAACATAAAGAGAAGACAACATCGACATTAAATGCTTAAGCACTTTAGATGAGAACTACTTTTATGTGCTGGAAAAGAACTGACTTTCAGAGTCGCTGGCCATAAAATTAGACAGTCAATAAGTTTAAAACATACACCAGGAAACTCAAAACAGTTTGCTTCAAAACTGACAGTTATGTTATACAAGTTGAACACCGGAAAGATGCATTCAAGCATGACGCAGAAACCAAAGATTACAAAGTATAAACAAGGTCATCAAATATTTAAGACATAAAGGCTCATCAAATTCTCTTTCAAGATAGCAATTTGATTTTAGATACTTTCAAGCTTGAGTTTGATAGAGACCTGAAGTTAGGATCATTGGTCTTCAATTTTATTTTTTGTTTGAACATTCTGCAATCTTTCCTTATTACGTGTTGTTTTCCTACATCTTAGGCTGGTGGACCATATTATCCCGTGTTAACAGGCAGAAGGGATAGTAAGGAGTCATTCTTTGATGAGGCCATGGCTGAAATTCCGCGACCAAATGGGAATATCAGCGAAACTCTTAGGTTGTTTTCCCTTAGAGGATTTGATGAGAGGGAAACAGTGGCACTCCTTGGTAATCTTTCTGATCCCATTACTTTAGTCTTCATACTCTGCGCCTTATTTTTGGAATATACATTTATTGAAATTTTTCTGTTCTTTTTTCCTTACACCTGAAGGGGGACATAATATTGGGAAGATTGGTTGTGAATTCATTAGGCCAAGGCTCAGTAATTTTATGGGGACAGGTTTCCCTGATCCAACAATTCCTTTTGACTTCCTTGAAGAGTTGAAGCGAAAGTGTCCAGAGAATAACAACACCATCAACAATATGTTCAGTGAACGTATAGCTAGGAGTCTGAGTGAGTCTGCTATGTCATACTCCCAGAGACTATCTGCATTTTCCTCAGTTGGAGCTTCATTTGATAATCACTACTACAAGACTTTGATGAGAGGAAGAGGGCTACTGTTTGCTGATCAACAGTTGATGGCGAATGAAAAGACTGCAGCAGTTGTGATTGATTATGCTTTGGATGATGGGACTATGTTCCGAACAGAGTTTGCTCACGCCATGGCTAAGTTGTCAGATTTTGGTGTTCTTACTGGATCCAAAGGAGAGGTTCGGTGTAGCTGCTCCCATCTGAATTCTAACTAGTAAGAGCTACTACATTCACGTACAATATGGTATAGACTAGTTATACTTCAAAGGAATTTGACTTGTTGGCTTAACAAATAGTACTAAATTTCTTCTGACCATCACCATGAAAAAACAAGTGCTAAATTGCCAAAGTATTTACGGTCTTATCCCATGTCAACATCTTCTTTTACTGCTTCGTATTTCAAAGACAGAAAAAGTATGAAACTTAGATTTGGTTAGAATGATACAGAATGTTAAAATTCTTGGATCCATTCTTTATTAACTTGTTATGATGGCCCTTATTTCTGCAATAATTAGACCAAGAGTTCATGTCAGTATTTGTCGTAAATTCATGCAGCGAGTAAACATCATAAACAAATATTTGTAAAATCTTATACTATGAACATCATAATCAAGATTTGCCTTATTTTATCGGATGCATCACCTAATACTATTATTTTTCTACTATACTGAAAATAATTATTGAACAAAGAAGGTAAAAACATACCTATAACTTTTTAATAATGATGTATCAATAGGGAATAATCATAGATTGAAATCAGATTTGATTGGGGTGGCAGATTCATGTATAGATAATCATCTGTCTAGAATCTGCCACGCCAATCAAATATAGTTTCAATGTATGAAAGTTTCTTCATCTTCCTCCAAGATTTAATTGTTTAAGGGTTAGGCTATATGGCTATATATAACAAAGGAACCGACTAGTTTTTCTTTTCCTTTTCGGATACTAATAAGTCGTGCGTAACTCTTACGTTAAAATTTCTAACTATTTTCCTCTTTCTCTAGGGTTAGTTTTCCTTCCAAAAATGTCTATTTAGCAGCGGCACAGCCTAGCCCTAATGAGTCTTTTTTGTTTTTGAAAGCTTTTGATGCAGCCCTAATAAATATCTAATATATCGCATTATTATATCAGCTATGGAAAAGTCTTTTAATTTCTTCCGTTTATATTTCTTATAAATCTGACAAATGTTCTCAATGAAATATAATTCTGAAACGGTAGTTTTCTAACAGAAAGTAAGAAATATTTCCAAATAACGTGTTGATGTTTTCAAAGACTTTATCATTAGTTCTGACATTATTAGTTTCTGTAGAATTATATATACTTACTGTGGAATTATATTTTTCAAGAACAATAGAGGAAACTGTCATTTCAAGTATGATCAATTAGAATTACAAAAGGTAGGCAGCTCTTTGTCACTGGGAATGTATCAACTACAGTATATTTTGGGAACTAAAAGAGTGGCTGGTTGAAGGGAAGCCAGAAAATCCAGGGAATCGACGTCCCCCAAACCATTAGACTTCCAGAGAAGAGGAGTCCGGTCGCCATTAAAACCCTTCTCGTAAACTTACAAATTTATCTTTATAGAACAAATTATAATTAAACAAACGATCCATGTGAAAGGAATGAAAGCAACCGGACATAGTCTCTTTTAGGGGTGTACAAAGGAAACCGACAAACCGCACCAAACAGAGAATTCGAGTCAAATCGAGAAAAACCCGACTATGGACTGGTTTGATTTGGTTTGGTATAGGAAAAAAAAAATTCGACCATAATTGGTTTGGTTTGGTTTTAACTAAAAAAAATCAAACCGAACCAAACCTACCCGAGATTACATGTATATATAGGTGTCACGACCCTAAACCCAGACCCGGTCGTGATGGCGCCTCTCGTGAAGACAAGGCCAGCCGACACATTTCCAATTCGAAGTTAAACAGCTAAACAGCAACACAACAGGCTAAAACGTGATTTAATAATGCTACACAGCGGATAATACCATAACAATATGGAAGTACAACCCAAACACAGTCCAAACCAGGGTGTCACTAGTCATGAGCATCTACTACAGTTGTCTATTCACATCAAGACCGAAACGGTCGGAAGATTTCAATAATACACAAGGAGGAATAAAGAGGGAGAAAGCAGAGCCGCGATCGCCAGGCAGCTACCTTGCTAACTCCAATGACAACTGCCACCGAGCTCAGAAAATACCTGAATCTGCACACAAGGTGCAGGGAGTAAAATGAGTACTGCCAACTCAGTGAGTAATAATCATAAATAAAGACTGAATGATCAGAAATCACGAAAAGAGCATCAACATGCTGTATAGAAGCAGTTTCGAAAGCCAGTAGAAAACCATGAGGCTGTAAAATCCGTCAAAACATCTTAGCTCAGTTTAAACTTCCTATTAAAAAGACTTTTTCAACAGTTACGCAAATGAATGCAGAACAACCAGTGCAGATAAGTACAGAAATCCGCCTCTCGGGCACAAATACACAATTAAACAGGTAAATGACAGGCAAATAAGAAAGATAAGCACATAAGGTTCGCCCCTCGGGCACAAGGTCAACAAATCCGCCCCTCGGGCAATATCTCAGAACGGTACCAGCCCCTCGGGCAATCACATAGAACAATATCAGTCCCTCGGGCAATCACATAGAACCATACAAGCCCCTCGGGCTATATCTCACATCACAATGGGTACTCGCGCTCACTGGGGTGTGCAGACTCCGGGAGGGGCCCCTTACGGCCCAAGCGCAATACCATGCCACCTCGTGGCATCATAACAGGCTCTCGGCCTCATATCAATATCAACAAGCCACCTCGTGGCGTACATATCTCAGGCCCTCGGCCTTATAATCAAATCAGTGTATCACTGCTGCGGCGTGCAGCCCGACCCAAAAGGCATCCTCACAACACAGGCCCTCGGCCTTACTCAGTCCAAAAATCACATAAGCCACTCGGGCAACAGTAAAAATGATGCTCGGCCCAAAATATTATTTGAAATATTATTTACAGTGTTAAAGCAAGTAAACTTGGCTGAGTTTTGAAAACAGTGAAAAATAACGTGACTGAGTTCAAGTATAAAGTCAAAACAGTGAGGAAATATCAACAAAAATCCCCGAAGGGTTCAAATAGCTGGCACTAGGCCCAAATATGGCATTCAGCCCAAATAATGATGATAGCAAATAGTTTTCAATCAAATACGCGGTAAAATCATCAATCGGGACGGACCAAGTCACAATCCCCAATAGTGCACGACCCCACGCTCGTCATCAAGCGTGTGCCTCACCTCAATATAGCACTACGATGTGCAATCCGGCATTTCAAACCCTCAGAACATCAAGTCGTGTTACTGCTTTGTTCTCTACCCCATCTTTTAAGCATAGTATAAGAGATACTATGCTTTATGCAAATGATAATATCTCTTATAAGGATGTTAAATCTATATAATATCTTTTATAAGGATATTAAATTTATCTCAAAATCTTTCCTTATTACGTGTTGTTTTCCTACATCTTAGGCTGGCGGACCATATTATCCCGTGGTAACGGGCAGAAGGGATAGTAAGATCAACAATATGTTCAGTGAACGTATAGCTAGGAGTCTGAGTGAGTCTGCTATGTCATACTCCCAGAGACTATCTGCATTTTCCTCAGTTGGAGCTTCATTTGATAATCACTACTACAAGACTTTGATGAGAGAAAGAGGGCTACTGTTTGCTGATCAACAGTTGATGGCGAATGAAAAGACTGCAGCAGTTGTGATTGATTATGCTTTGGATGATGGGACTATGTTCCGAACAGAGTTTGCTCATGCCATGGCTAATTTGTCAGATTTTGGTGTTCTTACTGGATCCCAAGGAGAGGTTCGGCGTAGCTGCTCCCATCTGAATTCTAACTAGTAAGAGCTACTGCATTCATGTACAATAGACTAGTTATACTTAAAAGGAATTTGACTTGTTGGCTTAACAAATAGTACTAAATTTCTTCTGACCATCACCATGAAAAAACAACTGCTAAATTGCCAAAGCATTTGCGGTCTTATCCCATGTCAACATCTTCTTTTACTGCTTCGTATTTCAAAGACAGAAAAAGTATGAAACTTAGATTTGGTTAGAATGATACAGAATGTTAAAATTCTTGGATCCATTCTTTATTAACTTGTTATGATGGGCCCTTATTTCTACAATAATTAGACCAAGATTTCATGTCAATTGTCAGTATTTGTCGTAAATTCATGCAGCGAGTAAACATCATAAACAAATATTTGTAAAATCTTATACTATGAACATCATAATCAAGATTTGCGTTATTTTAACAGTTTCATCACCTAATACTATTATTTTCTACTATACTGAAAACAATTATTGAACAAAGAACTGTAAAAACATACCTATAACTTGTTAACCATGATGTATCAATAGGGAATAATCATAGATTGAAATTAGATCTGAGTGGGGTGGCAGATTCAGATATAGATGGTCATCTCTCAAGAATCTGCCACGCCAATCAGATATAGCTTCAATGTACGAAAGTTTCTTCATCTTCCTTCAAGATTTAATTGTTTAAGGGTTAGGCTATATGGCTATATATAACAAAGGCACCGCCTACTTTTTCTTTTCCTTTTCGGAAACTAATAAGTTGTGCGTAATTCTTACGTTAAAATTTCTAACTATTTTTCTCTTTCTCTAGGGTTAGTTTTCCTTCCAAAAATGTCTATTTAGCGGCGGCACAGCCTAGCCCTAATGAGACTTTTTTGTTTTTGAAAGCTTTTGATGTAGCCCTAATAAATATCTAATATCGCATTACATAAGGCATCTGTAGTTCATACATTTTTTTTTTTTTACTTTGTTGGTGCTAAAGTTGTTGCCCCTTTTTCACGAAATAATCAAAATTAAGCCACGCATTTACTTACAATCATAAACTTTTACTCGCTTCTTAAAGCGTGTAGTCACGCATTTTATCCAACTCAGCAAAGCAAATGCCACATAGACTTGGTCAATGGCCAAAAGGGTTTAAAGTATTACTTTTGAACGAGTAGAGGTGTCTAGATGAAACTTCATTAAGTTTGGGGACCGGGATGACAAAATAGCACAAGTATAAATGTCATTTAGGCTATTCTGCCTTCTTATAAATCTGACAATTTGTGTGATGGCGTACTGGTAAAATGCAAAAGCCCCTCAAACGAATTAAGAGATTCTAATAAAAAAAACTCATGATGCAGATATCAAGAATCAGAAAAATATAATATAGTAAATAGCAAGAACAACAGACTCAAGAGTATGCTATGTTCGCCAATGAAATAATCATGAAGAGCAGGCGCAAGAGTAGTGCTGGTGCATTGTGTTGCATCGCCATTATTCTCCGCATCGTAGACCACACGATGAGTTTTGAGCCTGCCCCGTTACTTTTTTATGTGATATACTTTTACATGCATTCCATGCTAATGATGTGCGAAAGTATAACTTGGACTTGATGCAT